TCTCTCTCTCTCTCTCTCTCTCTCTCTCTCTCTCTCTCTCGCTCTCCCTCTCTCTCTCTCTCTCTCTCTCTGGTGAGGGGGGCATTCCCTCTCTCTCTCTCTCTTTCTCTGGTGAGGGGGGCATGTCGCAGCTACGTGTTCTCATAAATGTATGTCGTGTCTCATGCAATAGATGGAACCCGCGATTGCATCGACTGTCAACGGTGGAGAGACATGCGCCATGGAGACGGAGGACATTCTCAAGGGTTTTGCAGATGACAGCAAGGAAGGGAATTCGGCAGGAGGGAACAACGCAGACTGTGCAGAGGTGCTTGCGACAATATGTGCACAGACTGCAGAGATGATGGGTGATGGTGATGAAACAGAGAATGATGCAGGAGGGAGCACTTGTGAGTCGGAAATGGTTGGGGAAGAGAGAGAGAGGAGGGAGGTATGGGAAGCAGGGAATCTCTGACAGGGTGTATTGTGAAAGATGAAAATGTGGTGAAGACATCAGCAGGAGAAGAGTACCCATATGACATCAATTGGGTGTCGGGTCGTGTTCAACCGGGTATTGTTGGAGGAACACCCTGCTTTGCGTTCAAAGTCGAAGGGACATGGGTTCCATTTCCTGCCCCAAAAAAGAATACATGGCGAAACGTGACTCTGGCAATCATGTTTGACAGACTATTAAGGTTGAACGATGGGGCAACAGCAGAGGTGAAAGGGCGATATGCATTGGACATGTGGCGTCTTCTAGAGGCGCAGGGCGAGTTCAGGCTGAACGATTTTTTGTACGACAGTTTTGATTGCGGACAGGCGTGGGTTATTGGCGGGAACGACGCAACAGGGAGTACAGCGTGCCACGAGAGTGATGCGAGAAGGGATCCTAGGTGAGGTTGGGTGCCATGTGTGATCCCGATTCCATGTGGCCGTGTGAGGATGATGATGCATGATGTCATGGGAAATGTTTGGAGCACGCATTATGTGAATGGCAACTTCTCCTTCAGGCACCTCGACAGGGAGGTCTCAGAAGACGAGAAGAAGGCAATGGCATGTAATACCCATACTGCTGGCTGCTTTTTCCCGCCGCTTCGGAACCCTGTGGACTCGGAGGTGGTTGAAGGGAAAGTTTTCACTGGTGAGGATGGCAGCACATACACGCATGCAAGAGGGCAGGAAGCCACGTATGATGGAGTATGCTCGCAGATATGGGACCATGTCACAATGAGGAGTGACGTTCTGTCTGCCATGGACATTGGGGCCTGTGTCATCCCTGGAGGACAGTTGCAGCATCATATGGCCCCTGAAAAGTGTGACTATCGTGTCAATTGGGTCCCAGGATGTTTGCATTCTGCAGTGGTTGATGGCAAGGTGACGATGGCAGCACGACTGCAATCAGGGCATTGGCTCCCATTGGGATGGATGCATGCAGGCATTGTGGAGCATTGACAGTTCCTCGTGGTTCTGGCACGTGTCTCAATTTTCAATGTGAATGCAAAGGACCACGTCCTGGTGGTTGAACACGCAAAGCGGTGCTGGGAGAAGATAAGGGAGGAAGAGCGTCAGATGGTGTGCGCGGGTTATGACTCCATGGCTGACCAGGGGATGTGGTCCATGGTTGAGGGGAATTGTACAGCCCAAGAGCACGGCGACGGTCAGAACAGATACATGCCTCGCATTCGCCGCAGGCACGATTGCACGACCGTTCTTGGTGGGTCCCGGTCGTATGTCCCATGACATATGAGCATGGTGGAGACGTCACCATGAGATTCAGAGACCCGCTTGGTGTGCCTTTCCATCTGACCTACTTAGATGGACTCCTGCGAGACATTCGGTATCTGCCGGAGGATGGCTTGCCACGTTCAGCGCAGGTAGGCAAGAGGACAAAGAAGCGCTCAAAAATTTTCCGTTTGTCTGCTGAGGTGGAGGGCCCATGTGGTCCTGGTCGCGTCGGGGGGTGCTCTGTAGCACAGGGTGACATGGGCGGGCCGAGCGATGTCCCGATGTCGCAGAGCCCGGGGAAGAAGAAGAAGTGCACGCCGGGAACGCCACGTGATGTTGCAGAGCCCGCACGCAGAAAGAAGGTGAACCCGAAGGCGGTGCCAGGGACCGGAGACACCGCAGGTGCACGAACTCAGGTCCCCAGACGCCGTCGACGCCCCGGGATGGCAACTTTGTCGGAAATCAGAAAGTTGCAACGATCCACCGACCTTTGCTTGGCTTTCAGGCCGTTCTTGCGTCTCGTGCGCGAGGTTGTGGAGTGGGACATTGCTCCGGGTATGGGCGTGAGGTTTCAGATGACGGCGGTGCGTGCTTTGATGGAGGCTGCCGAGGTGTACCTGGTCGCCAATTTCGAGAACACCAACGAGGTGGCCATCCATTCGAAGAGGGTGACGATCCAGATCAGGGACATGAGACTGGTGGATAGGTTGTCGAAGCCTCGCTGGGTTGAGAAATATCAAGGTATGTTGGACGAGAAGGTGAGAGCTGAGGAGAGACAGGAACGGATGGACGCCAGACAGGCGGAAATGGATGACAGCAGAGCAGGGGCGAAGAAGAGGAAAGCAGTGCCACGTAAGGGGGGGTCCGCGAAAAAAAATGCAGCTTGATAATTCTACTGTGTGATCCCTATAACGGTTGTCCTGTCAAATCGTGGACTCTGTGGAAGTCTTCGTGGTGTTAGGTGGGTTGAATAGGTGAAGAGAGAGAGAGAGAGAGAGAGAGAGAGAGAGAGAGAGAGAGAGAGAGAGAGAGAGAGATCAGGTTCACTAGTGGGGGACATGAAGGTATTGAAGGACGAGTCTGTCGCTGATTTTGGCCCGCAGTAGTGAACCCCATATATTTTTGTTTTTTTCTTGTTCTCCTTTCATTCTTTCTTGTTTTGTATCTTTTTTTTTTTTTTCATTTTCATTTTCTTCTTCTTTCATTCTTCAAGTCTTTCTTTCTTTCTTTCTTTCCGAATGATCAGCCTTTCAGTGGGCTCCAACGGCGGAACCTGTTGCCAGTTGTCTCTACTTTCGTAGTCCCGGATCTTTCGGCCTTGTACTTTTTTTTCGTTTCCGCCGTTCTGAAGACTCGTTGGCACCCGGAGGTCTATCTAATGTGTGTCCTAGCCTTCGGTCCACTTACTGTAGGTTTCCATGTGAATGCATGTACTTTGGATCTTTACCAAAATGCGCTCGTAGATGTTTGTCGTTTGGACGGTTGCGTAGGTCTGTAGGTGCGTGGTGCGTTGTACGTCTACGGAAGTTGGGTACTAGTAGGCCACTCGTTGAATTAGGGGTTGTTGTCGTTGCTTTTCTTGCCACGGGTTTGGTGAAGGTCCCATTATCTGTCCGTTCTGTTGTTGTGGACATGTGCGCAAACCATCACAGTATCCGTAGTTGAGTGTACACTAAGTGTGTTTGCTGTTTCCTTTCTCTGACTCTACATTCTTTCATCCAGTGACCTGCAATTTATATGCTTGGTTTGTTAGCATCAACCCCTCTTCTCCCTCTTCCACGTGTGCACGCGCTTCTCTCTTTCCCACCCTCTGTCTGTCTGTCTGTCTGTTCTGTGTTGCGGTCCTGACCAATTTCGTATTGTCACGACTCGGCAAAAATTTCAATAGCGTCCAATTGCAAAAAAAAATGTTTAAACATGAGGGGAGAGAGAGAGAGAAAAAGGTCATTCCGAATCCTGCTTCCTCCCCTCTTATTCAAACAAGAAAGAACAATAATAATGTTGAATGGTTGAACATCATCTATGTTGCATTGACGAATCTCTACCGCATGAAGAAATCCTGCATAGGTCAAAGATATGCATGGACAAAACAAAGCAGTTTTGTGGTCTGTCTGCTCCGTCTGTTGTGTCTGTCTGTCTGTCTGTCCATCTGTCTGTCGGTCTGCTCTAATTTGTATGTCTGTCTGTCTGTCTGTCCGTCTGTCTGTTTGTCAGTTTGTCTGTCTGTCGCCTTGTCTGGTCATTCAGTCAGTCAGTCAGTCAGTCAGTCAGTCTGTTTGTCTGTATGTCTCTCCGTCTGTTTGTCTGTCTGTCTGTCTGTCTGTCTGTCTGTCCGTTTATTTGTCTGTCTGTCTGTCTGTCTGTTTGTCTGGTATGTAAGTGGATGAACCAGAATGAAAGGTTGTCTGATGGTCCAACATGTTTGTGTGTGTGTGTGTGTGTGCGTGTGTGTCTGTCTGTCTGTTTGTCTGTCTGTTTGTCTATCTGTCTGTCTGTCTGTCTGCCTGTCTGTCTATCTGTTTGTCTGTCTGTCTCTTTCTTTCTTTGTTTCTTTCGTTCTTTCTTTCTTTCTTTGTCTAACATGTTTGTTTGTTTTGTTTTTTTTTTTTTTTCCTTT